AAGACAGCCCAAAACAGATTTATGGAAGGTCTGGAAAGTCACAAAAATGAGGCTAAACAAAGCCTCCAAGAAGTAAAAACACATGCTCTTTTGGAGGGCCATCAACATAAGTAAACAAGACAAGAGGAAGGGGGACAACCCCCACCCATTTGGGCCTTCAAAATAGGGTTTTTACCATTGAAAATACTATGGATTTCAGTGGTTAAAAGGCCACAAAAATTTGGTTTCAAAAGCTTAGGAAGTTGGCTCAAAAGGCTTTACAAGCCAAAGAGCAAAAGGGAGGACAACCCCCTAGCCAACCAAGGCACAAACCAAGACTTTTAGGACTGAAAAATAGAGGAAAAACAAGGGTTTTTGTAGTTCAACACCACCCCAAAAACAGCCTCAAAGTAGTTCAAAAACTTATGGCAAAGCTAGTATGCAAAATAAGCTAAAAGGGAGAGAGATGTTACCCTTGATGCACAGCTGCAAAATCAGCCCAAAATCTGAGCTAAGACCAGCTTTTGAAGCTCAAAATGATCCTCCAAGAACCTCAGCCCAATGGGGGTTAACTTTGATGAAGGATGTATATGCAAACAAGAAGTATTTCTCTACCTCTATGGACTTCTATGCACAAAAGGGCAATGGAGAGAGGCTCTAGAGAGAGAGGCAGAGGTTTTTAGGTTTGAAATTTCTAGAGATAGAGGACCTTTTAGAGTGAGAAGCTCCAAAACTTGCTTAGGAAGTTCTATTTTGCAAAATGGGAGATATAGGTTCATATATAGCACAAATCAGCTTTTGGTCGAAAATATCTGATTATAGGACAGCTGGAGCTTGCTAGAAACAGTTGGAGATGAAATATCTGTCAAAAATATGAGTTTTGGGCATTTCTGGCCGGCCGGCCATCTTTAGTGCCGGCCTGCTATGGCCAGCCTGCTACTTTTTTGGCCGGTCTGTTACTTTTGTGGCCGATAGCAAATATTTGTGGCCGGTAGCAAATTCTGCTCTGCAGGTCCAACTTAAAATGGGCATAACTCCTTCATATGAACTGCTTTTTACGTCATTCTTGTGCCTAAACTGAAGTCCTAGAAATAATCTTTCCAATGGTGGCAGCCTTGCATAAAAATTCCAACTGTGCAAAAAGTTATGCCTCTTTTGGTAAAGCCACTTAGTTTTGGTTCTAGCCGGATTGATGCCCAACTTCAACCAATCATATCTCCCCCATCCGGACTCGGCTTTAGGAGATTCTTAAGTGAAAAACGAAGCCCCGGAAGTAAGATTTCCAACGGTGGTAGCCTCATAGCTTAAATCCAAGTGTATAGACAGATAGATTTGATTTAGTGAAGACCGCTCGACTCTTTTTTAGCGATTCATACCCATCTTCTTCCCCAACTTGGTTTCTTCCCTCTTCTCCTCTTTTCTTCAGCTTCAAACCCCTAAGTAAGGTGTTTTGAAAGATTTTTCAAAGATTTCAACTCTCTTTCATTCATTTCAACTTTGTCCTTGCTCGGTTTACCAAAAAGCGCAACATTTAACAAAATGTGAGCCTCAGAGCATCTTAGAAATTTTATTTCAAAAATGTTTTAAAAGAGAGGGTTTTAAATTCTAAAAACCATTCAAAATAGCTTTGGTCCACAATAGGGCGTGAAGTTTGGATTTGACTCTCCTCTTGCCGAAGAAATTGAACCTTTGCCTTGCACATCTTTCATCACCGAGTAAACCATCAGTAGCGCCCAAGTCTTAAGGGCAGTCAAAAATGGGGTGTCTATAAATGCCCCTCTTTGACAGAACTTGGAAGTCAAGAAGTGACGTGAGTGAATGTCAAAGCCCAGAGACGACCTGTTTTTGACAAGGCTGAAGACTTGGACAAACAAACAAAATACAGAAAAATAAATGGTTATGCCCACAGGCTACCTACGTATCCCATTGCAAGGAATCAAACCAGCGTAGTTCAGGGGCAAGATGCAAATGATATGCAGGAGGATTTTGATAATCGGACTTATACGCTACGCGAAGCCAGTTTGAAAATTGGATTTATGCAAGAAGGAATTGCACCTGTAGAGGATTTAAGGTCTTCTAGACCCGAGAGTGCACAAGACAGTGCGAGTGATACAAAAACCCAGTGTGCACAAGATAATGTGATGCAGAGTGAATGCACGAAACAAAGCTATACAGGTGCACAAGACAGTGCGATGTGGATTAAATGCACAAAACAGTGTGATGCAATGCACTAACAAGTACAGGTAAAGTGCGCAAGATAGCACGAGGCAATGCACAAACAAGTGCAGGTAAGGTGCGCAAGAAAGTGCGAGCAAGTTCCAACAAATGCAAGTAAGGTGCGCAAGAAAGCGCGAACAAGTTCAATGCAAAAGATACAAGCATTTTCTATGCAAGTGAGAGCATGCAATGAGATGCACAGGATAGTGCGATGCGCAATAAAGCGCGAGTATAAACTGCACAAAACAATGCGATGCACAAGAAAGCGCGAGTGTAAACTGCACAAAATAGTGCGATGCACAAGAGAGCACAAACAAAATGCAATGCACAAAATAGTGCGATGCGCAAAATAACGCGAATGAAATGTAATGCACAAAACAGTGCGATGCGCAAAATAGCGTGAATGAAATGTAATGCACAAAACAGTGCGATGCGCAAAATAGCGCGAGCGCAAACGCAGGATTTTAAGGTCTCCTAGACCAAAGAATGCACAAGATAGTGCGAGTGGGGATGCAGGATTTAAGGTCTCCTAGACCAAGTGAGTGCACAAGACAGTGCGAGGCAGGGGTGAATGCACAAAACAGTGTGATACAATGCATTAACAAGTGCAAGTAAAGTGTGCATAACAATGCAACTAGAGTGTGCGTAACAACGCAAGTAAAGAGGTGCATGACAATGCTACTGTAGATGCGCCCGCGTGGGGGGGCTTCGCTACAGTTCGGACTCGATTTGGTTTCACGGTTCTTAATCTTGAACCAAAGAGTCCAAATCCGGCAAATTGTTTTGAGAAAACAGATTTTAGGAAAGAAGTGCCAAACATGGACTGCTTTGCCAGATACAGAGTCGCTACCTAAATATTTTTTTAAAATGGGGAAATTTAGGAAACCCTGACTCGGTGCCGAAGGCCACATGTCCGTCATCACCGGAGTTATCTCGGCTCGGGAGCTTGGGTACGATCGGGGAAGGTTAGCTATGAGCACCCCCTTTTGCCCGGTCCGAAGACCTGCCTCTACTAACCGTGATATCTGATTTTGAAAACGTTACGTGTTCTTATTCTGGTTATTAGCCCAGAATTACTATGTTATGCGCGCAGCAAACAAGTATAGACTAGATTGCCTAATTTGGAAATAAGCATTGCATATCCCTTTGTTTTTGAAAAGCGCTTTGGATTTTGCTACTTGCAAGTAGGCTAAAGCACGGATTTCAATGAGCTTTTCCAACTCAAACAATCCAACCTTCACCCACAGGCATTCAAACAGTTTATCATATAAGCATTTAGCCGCATGGCAAGCCTACTGTCATGTTAACATTCACACGCATGCGAGATGCTAAAGCATAAATACTTACATCGTACTTCGTGCCAAAACAATAAACTGGTTAGCAAACATGCGTGTCCCAGTTCATGTTCAATTGTCTAATGCAACACATATAGGATGCAATTAGATAGGCTCGACTAATCTTAAACATGGCATGTGAAATGCAGTCAATCAATTGATGCACGTATTCAATTTTAAATTGAAGTACAAATGCAGTTAGCGTGATGTACCGAGCCCAATGCATGCAATACAAATGCATGAATGCACGCATGCATAGCATAAAGTATGCTAAGACTGTGAACTTTTTGGGGCCCTAAGCAAACTCTCAAGATGAGGCTCTCTCTATATTTTCGTTCACTGAAAACTAAAGTTTGCTTGACTAAAATTACTAAAATTTGCTTACATAGTTTAGCAAAGTCTACTTTACTGTAAATATATATATATGTATGTATGTATATATAAAGCTATAATAGCAAAACAAATTGATAGCACCAAATTCAAATGCTCTTGGTAAACACTAATTGATAGCACATTTTGGGGAAGAATTATGCATTGAGCTCATTGAGCTCATGTGATTGGAACACTCTTCATTGCTCTATGGAGATGCAAACTGTGCTCTTTATTTTTGTTATAGTTTCAGATGCTATCCTCTGATTGTATTTTGGAGCAGGGGGTCTTCCATGCAAACTAGAGGGTATAGTCGAATCACCACTTGTAAATGGATACCGTAACAAGTGTGAATTTTCAGTTGGATATTCTGTACAGGGAAAACCAACTGCGGGGTTTATGCTTGGGAACTTCAGGTAGTTATTGAATTTACCTTTTGGGATTCACTTCTTTACATTTTTCTCTTGTTTATCATAAAGAAGAATTATTTATTTCAGGGAGGGTGTGACAGCTGTTGAAGAACCTACGAACTGCCAAAATGTTTCCACATTGCACATTGCACTTTGATGATGAGTTAGTAAACAGTGAATTTGAGAGGATGGCTCAAGCATTTGCTGTGGGACCTTCTGCTGATTCTCCTTTGCCTCTAACATCATTGGTAGTTCAGGTACTAACTCTAAGTACATGTACTTGTTTGGGTCTGATATTTTAATTTCTTTATTAGATGGGCAGTTGTACTCTATAATCTGTCTGTTACCAGGATTCATGAAAACCTGAGCTTTTAAAGACCCAGCATGCAATGGAAAAATAAATGTACATGTATGGTGGAACCATTATTCAATCAATTCTTTTTTCTTTTTTTTTTACATTCTAAGATTATATAATGTGTACTTCATAATATACTGCTTGGATTTCTTGGATTGAGTCACAGATGAAAATTTTATACTATGTACTTCAAAATATGTGAAGTGTGTATTTTGTTTCCATAGCCACATACTTCAGAATAGGATGGAGAATTCTTTGCATTTCTTGTTAATTGGTTACTTTATTGACATCATTTTTCATATTTTCATTGTTACCACCAAGTGATAATCTGGTTGAACAACAGAATATAGTAGTGTGAATTGTAGCTTACATATTCTTCATGTAGAAAATGCTACATTGTGAAGCTTCTTTATGATGTCAAATTCTAATGGTCGTAGAAAACAAATTGCATCTAGATACCTAGAGTTCTATAGGTTGGTGAAGTAAGTTTGAAATTTTCAGTTTTCCACGTTTACAAATTTAAATATTGCAAACAATGGCTAAATAAATCTACCTAACAATTGTTATGATGAAGTCCAGAATCCTCTTGATTTGTAATAACTAGCCTTCGTGAGTTACGTATCATGGCCTTATCAGAAAAAGGGCATAGGCTGCATGTCATTCAAGCAATGTATGTTTTAGGTTCTGAAGATATGTCGCATGGTGTGGCTTTTATGTTTTGAAGATACTCTCATTCCAACCACAACCAGTTGCATACAAGAATATCGAGATGGAGATTGAAACTAACCTTGTCAGTTCCATCCTTTCTCTGAATGTGTTATAGTGTCTTCATTGTTTCTATCCCTTCTTGGAATGTGTGTTACAAGCCATGCTACTACAATGGATTCCACACGGATGCTAAGCATTTGTTTGATTTATTGAAAGGGTGGCTACTTAAGCCATTTTTTTAATTCTGGAAATTTGTAGCTCCTTTGAAGTGGTTTTGTCACGGGTTAGGCCATTCCTGAAGATTTCTCTCTCATTTAAGGGTTTGAAATTGTTTAGGAGTTATTGATTTCATGGTTTATAACTGTGAAGCACGGGCGTTTAATTTTAGTACGGTGTCCAACATATCTTAGACACGCACACTCCACGGACATGCCATGTAGTGTGCTTAATTTTTTTAATTATTGTTATTTTTGGTTGTCATGTTGGGGACACTACAAGACACTTATTCTTTTCAGACACCTTGTGCATGTTTGTAATATTACAAGTTTTTAATTGGGGTCAAATTGTAATATTAAAAAATTCTAACCAATTAAAACTGGGAACTTCATAAATTTATGTACATCTGTTTGAACAAAAACCTAGCTGCAAATAGAGAAGAAGAAAGAAGTTGTCGCCACAGAAGCCCCTGTTGAGAAGAATAACCTCTTTATGCCTCAGTGATTGATGTCTGTAGTTGACGTTGCATTGGATTTTGCTTGGTTTGATATAAGACTGTACTATGGTAGTAATTTAATTACTTTGTTAGCCCTGTTTAGTAGAGCTGTGGGAAAGTGCTTATAACTTATGCCTTAACAGTTTCATAAGCTGATTTCTGACTTATAAATTAATCATCTCCTGCCCCACTCAAAGAATAAGCTGATTTCTGACTTACAAAAAGTTATAAGCTGCGTTGTTAAGTTAAACCAAACACATCAAAATAGCTTAAATTAAGCTGAAAGCTGAAATAAATAACTTTTAAGCTGCACCAAACAGGCACATTATAGGTAACATTTTAATAAGTTGTATGTTGCATTTTTAACTGTATCTTGATTTTTCAAAAATTGTTGTCCAATGTCTTGTCAAGTCTGCTTCTTAGGTTATAGCATGAACTTTTGCACAAACAAGAGCTGTATGATTTTTTCACTCTATTGTAGTGATGAGTCATTTTCTAAATGCTGGCCTTTTGCTTGTGACTTGATTTTATTGTCTATGGAACATTACGTACACATTAGATATCACCTGAGGACATTCGGTGGGAAGGCGATGGTCCTGGAGTCTCTAGTAGAGGCGGCCCCAGTGGACCAGGCCGTGGGTTTAAGAAGTCTATGGCACGTGGTGGTGCTGTTGCTGGTGCCGGAAGAGGCAGAGGAATAGCAAAGGGTCAGTCCAAGAAAGTTTTTCCTCCATCACAAAATGGCATTGGGAAGAAGGGTGATATCGAAATACTTCATACTGATACTCTAGTTAAGGAGGTATGACTGCCACTTGAAGATTTTGCATTTCACTGCAAACATAATTGTATATATACATATTATTTTGCGCTCCCCGCTGATGTGAATATCTATAGGTGGAGAAAGTTATCAGAGCAAGCCATCCGGATCGTTTGGAGGTTGAGAAAGCAAAGAAAGTGCTTAAAGTAAGAATATCCTAGTACCAGTAATAAAGTTTTTTATTTAATTTTTAATTTGTTTGCAATTTTGAGAGTCCTTTTGAATGCAGGAGCATGAACAAGCCCTGGTTGAAGCAATTGCGAGGCTTGAAGATGCTTCTGATGGTGAAAGTGGTAATAACTGATTGCATATAGACATATAACCATGCTCTATGATTACTTTTTTAAAAAACAAAACAAAGACGATAGTGTTTTGTTGCATCTTGCATCTCAAGTTTATGATGGATATTTAGAATGGAACTTGTTTATGGCCTTGTAAAATTTTATAAAAAAATAAAAATTGAATTTCTTTTTTAAATTTGAGACAAGTGGTTGTCATTTTAATGTTTCAAATAGTGAAGCAAAACATTCTGGGTATGGTCATTGCACTAAGTCATTGTACTAAGAAACTCTGAACTTTGTGTTCAACCTTTTTGTAGTGAATACCGTGATATAATAAATGTGGTGCTTTTTCGTATATTTTTTCTGTTTCTAGAACACAAGAAAAAAAGGGTGTTTTTAGCTTTATTAGTCATGAGTACCTACGTTTTTCTTTTTTGTATCCACTTTGAAGCAGATGGAGATCATCAGTTGCAAGGCCAATCAATGGACCAAGAGCGATGGAGAAAACAACAGTACGATGATCATACTGGAGAAGGTAATAGGGTAGTTGAAGGTTCAGATGCCAACAAGATGGCTACAGATGGAAGAGTTGGTTCTGATGATCAGCAAGACAACGGCGATGACATTTGATTATTGTAGATAGGTTTTAGTGTTGGGCACACTAACCTTGTACTTTGTTTATGGAAAGAATGTTTGTGTAAAATTGTTTAATTATGAATAATTTCTGAATATTATATAAAAATTGTTTCTAAATGATTTGTAAAGTATGCAAGCTTGCCTCTCTCTCTCTCTCTCTCTCTCTCTCACACACACACACACACAACTTTGCTCAACCTCGTCAACTGCACAGACCTGAAATTGCACCAAAGAAAGATGGTGAAGATAGTAAGTTCCTGTAAGTTGAAATGCATGTAATATTCGATATATTTGTGGCTCATGCGACTATAACTTCAAACACTAGACAAAAAAACAAATGGCATTTTTGGGGTTAGTATGGATAAAAATAAGGTGTCATCGATTCAACAGCAAATAATATCAGAATAACATGTAGGTTATGTTTGTTTGGGTGGACATGAGCTTGGGATTGGACTAATAGTCCAATAAAATTATTAATCCGATGTTTGGTTAAACAATTAAAGTAGGGACTAATTATTTTAAACTTGACTATAGTTAAGATAGGATATATAATCCAACGGATTTGTAGGCCTAGGACTATTAGTCATGGGAATGCTAATCCAGTCCGCCCAAACAAACATGACCGTACTATTGTCAAAGTGATTCTAGGTCCCATTTTAATTTGGTTATGCTAATAGAGAATTATTGCCAAAGTGATTCTATACCCCAATTTAATGTGATTATGATCTAACAATTCATGAGATAGGAAACCCCCTATTAAGCAAAGCAATTCAAACCCAATAACAATCATAAAAAAAATGTCTTATAGTAGCACAAGGCTCCTGCTTGCAATAGTATCGGGGAGAGGCAATAGGTAGGCGGAGTCTTCCCCTCATGACCTGAATGCCCACATAAGAAGAATTTATCTCAGGAATTCTGGGAAAATAGTGGAACTGCAATTACAAAAACAATGGACAAAAAACACGGAAATGTACCATATTTAAAAAAATTAAGGCTACCTACACCATGTAGAAGAGAAGAAAACAACATTCAGCATATAAGAAACAAGAAACACTGAGATTAGCACATCCATGTAGAGAAGAAAAAAAAAAACAGTATTTGGTACCATATACGGGATATGAAATTGGACTTTAACACTCACCATAATTTGTTCTTATTAGTATTACTGATTACAGAACCATAAAAGCAAATCCTAATTTGTCCGCATGCCATGAATATAATGATTCTGCTGGAGCCAACTTGCTCCATGTTCGATTCGGGCTTGCCATTCCATACATGTTCAGACATCTGGGAATGCACCCACTCTATCGTGATAGATTTTTACATAAACTTTTTGCTGTTGTGACAACACAAAATATTTGCATGTATCTAGTGAGTAGTCTGCTGAAACAATAGTGGGCCATGACCAGCAGAGACGAGGGTAAGATTATAGTCTCTTTACTATATGCAATGGCTTACGACTTACATCAAGATATATGAAACCTTACCACCAAACTCGTTCCTACTTTCACTATTTCCATATACTTGCAGATCATAGATGCAAAAAGACATTTGCTACAATAGAATGTTCTGTGCTGAAATATCCGAACCTCATTTAATGTTTTGAAAATATGCCAATACGATGTACAAGGAGATAAAATCCACAACTAAATTATCCATATTTGTAGAAAATATCTGATTCTTAATAGGATATATGAAACCTTTGTCCTAACCTTCAACCTTCTAAGTTTTTCTAAAGACAAATGTATTTCAATTATCGGTGAAATCTAGTATAAATCTGAAAGAGAACCCCCAAAACTTCAGCGTAAGAGCAAATTTGCTTGAGGAGTGTATGAGTATTATATACTAGATTTCTTTACCTCCATATAATTATCTTAATTTGAACTAGATCATTTGATAGCGCAATTAAACGATAACTTCAATGTCTCCACTCTGATATGAAACTAATTTGTGGCAATTTTTCATTCCGGAGAGTAAATTCTGAAATGGTTCCAAAAACTCCTATTCTTATACAACCAAATGATCAAAATTCAATGTCAGGTGTGGTATTTTGGTTAGCTTAGACTTGGAAACATTTTGGAAACACAAGGCAAACTTTAAAATTCTTTGGGGAGGTGTTAGTGAAGAATTCAATTATGATTTAGTGGATCAGAACACTTCCTGTAATGAGGGTGGGATGGGCATTAGAAGGTTGGAAGCTTTTATAGAACTCTTTTGAGAAAGTGTTTGGAAAGTTGCTTGTGATAGCGAGAAATATTGGAGGAAAGTGGTGGCTGCTAAATATGTAGTGGAGAGGGGCATCCAATGAAGATTTCTTCATCTTGTGGGAAGGTTTTCCTGACAGAGACAGGAAAGGTTGGGAAGACTTTGGTCATTCAATTTTGGCAGCACAGATGGAGTGGGAATGTATCAGTGGAACTCTATTTTTCAGCAGAAAAATGCACGAGCTTTTGAGATTTCAGTTTACGGGTCATAGCCTCCAAAAAATTACCCCCGTCTGCCAATATTTCCACGAGTATCATCAAGTCCGAAGAAAAGAGGCAAACTACTCTTTTGTAACATATCAATATCTGATGTAGATTTGATGGAAGTTTTATACAAGATACATATGAAAGCACAACGAAATATGAGAACAACATTAGTTTCAATTTTAGAAATGTAGTCAATCATATTGGCGCCACATATTAAACTTGGAGTCCTAAACTTTATCCTAATAGGGTTCCGGTTGAATTTGAACATCAAATCTGATATGATTATTCGAACAATGGACTAGAGCAACTGACCAAGTAAAATGGGAAATTTCAACATAGTCACCATAAACAGGTTCACTATCCTTCATAATTATTGACCCCAACTACTAATGATGATTGAAACTCCAAAGGAAAGAAGGGTACTCGAATCAGCTAGAAACAAATAGTTCAAAAAATACCCTTTCCTCCAAATTTCTAATTTCAGCACAAGATAGAATCATTATGCAACTTATGTGAAAATCCCTCCCACATGCAATTATGTTTCTCTGTCATTCCAAATTTATCGGGTTTTCCCCCAAGGGGCACACACAATTAATCTTCCTGCATACAGTTCCATAATTCTATACGCACATACCCTTTTTCATATATCTAAATAATCACTCATCAAACCCATTAAACATATAATCTAATTCATTATACTTGTTTCTCAACGAAAACATTCCACGAATCTTCAACAACTGGGGAAGCAAAAAATAACCAAAAAAATCAGGGAAGCAATCTGAACTTCATCAATCAAACAGTTTGGTTGGTATATTGATTCAAAACAACACATGCCATGAACAGCCCATATTGAAGAATCTTGCACCATAATTCAATCAAACTAAGCAATCTATCTTTAAAAATATTAAAATAAATAAATAAAATACCTTTTTGACCCGTGAAAAATTGGGAGTAAAAATCCATACCTGTTGAAGAACCCACAGAAAAAAGATTCTCACAGACCCATTTACAGACAGTAATCAAAACACATCTTTGATTTTAACGGAACCCAGTAAGAGAACCCACTAGAGAAGAGAAACCCAGAAAGCAATCCCTCTCAGGAGACCTTGACAATCACCCAAGACTGGGTCCATCCATCACTGGTTGAATTCAGAGAGAGAGAGAGAGAGAGAGAGAGCACAGAAATCTGAAATGATTGGGTCATGAAAGTATGCTGGGAAGACAGAGTGAGTGGGGGACCTGTGGTTTTCTGAGAACATGGTAATGGTATTTTGGTGTCAAATGATTATGTGTGTTGTGTGTGGAGCACAATAATCTCAGCCTTCGTTCAGAATGTAGGTTTGTTTTTTGGATTTTTAATTTTTAGTTATTTTAGCACTAATCAAAAAATTTAGTTAGGGATGGATTTTTTGAATTTCTTAATTTTTATTATGAAAAAAATAAAATAATTATAATTTAAATATAATATTTTATCTTATTAATTCTTTAATTTATTTTTTCTAAACTAAAATAATCAAATAACCTCGACAAACGTAACCTCATTTCATCATTTGATCCGGACTGTCAATGAGAGTAAAATTCTATTTCCTGATAGTTAAAGTTTTCTTTGGCTTCTTTTGGGAAGAAGGATTAGGTTGGATTTTAAGCTATTTTAACTATAAAAAAATAAAATAAATTATTTAGTTTAATAAGATAAAATATTATATTTAATTCATAATCATTGCATTCTTTCTCTTATAAAAAATTAATGGATTTTAAGCTATTTTAACTATAAAAAAATAAAATAAGTTATTTAGTTTAATAAGATAAAATATTACACTTAATTCATAATTATTACATTATTTCTTTTATAAAAAGTTTAAAAACTTAAAAAATTATTTCTAAACGAGACTTTTTTAGCCCTAAGCTAAAAAAGTCAAAAAGTTAAAAAGTCAACTACCTTCTCAAACAAACCCTTTAATTTTTGACAACCATAATACAAAAAATAAAATAAAACAAATCAATAAATTATAATTATTACGACTGTAACCCACATTTTTCATTTTCCAGATAAAGTTTGAAAATATAAACTCATAGTATATATCATTTTTGTTTAACAAATTAAACTAAACTAAAATCTTTTATAAAACTATCATTTACGTTAAACCAAAAAAAAATCGATAAATCAATGGCCAATTTCAATACGTCTTAAGAAAATCGAAAGATTGAATTTGGTATAAAATTTTCACTTAAACCTGAACAGAATTGAGTATTGGGTTGAGTTTGAGATCTAGCCCAAAAACATTTGCTTTTTTAGTGTGTTTTTTTTTAAATTATGTCAATTTTTTTACATGTCAAGTCCATTTAAATATAGAATTATCTAAAAATAAAAAAAATAAACTATTTTTATTAAAAACCAAAAAATATACAAAAAATATTAATTTATTTTATAAAAAATTAAATTTTTTTTTTATTTTTCGATCTACCGAAGAACACTCTTGATCACCCCCAGCAATAGCTCATTGTCGCTTGCCAAACCAATAGGTCTCAGTTAATCTGTCTTAGATTCAATTTTGTTCTTGTATTATGTTAATGTTTGGTTTATAGGGTTTGTAATTGTAAAATTTTTCTCGATATTTCTAGAATTTTGGCTTGGAATTTGAGTTATGTGATTTTTTTTA